ACAAATAAGGAGCCGTTGCCTGGCGGACTTTCTAGTTCACTGGTGCTAATCTTACACAAATTGGTCTTTCAGTATCTGGATTCTAGTTATGTTGAAAAGTCATCTTGTAATATCTTTTATTTTTATAATGTTGCGCCAAATTCATTAATTTTTCTTTCTGGTGTATCGCAATGATATCCTCCAAATAAGGCATTATGGACATTCTCTTCTAATATCGATGGCTTGCCTTATGGTTTTTTATGCGCCGCATAAAGGAGCATTGTGAGTTTGCCATCACTGTTCGCGGCTCCATCTGCCACCAAAAAAAGGTAAGTCATTAGCGTATTACAAACAGATTGCTTTCATTACAATATCTAATTAATGTTATTTTAATTACATTAGAAAAGAAATGAATTTTTAAAATAATGTTTATAATACGTCTAAATGAAATGTATTTTCTATTACACTCTATTCTGTTTATGTAATAATACAATACATTAGAAAAAGTATTGCATTATATTGTGTGGATTGATTGATTTAACGCACAATTGCGATTTAATGCATAAATGACGCGCAATTGAAAAATGAAATGATCATCTTTAAACGCTAAAAATTAAAGATTAATATGCATAAACAGTCACCGTGTGGGTAATAAATTTTACAGATATAGATAATTGCAGTAAAATTTCATGTAGATTCAATCACGGTGCATCATTATTCTATGTTATTCAATCATGAAATCGAAATCGATCGAGAATAGAAACATACTTTGCATGTTTTCAGTCAATTGTTAAGAAGTCTCTTTCAATTGCTTACAAACGCTTAAATAATAATTAAAATTAATTAATTTTAAAGGCTATTTCAGGTTACAGAGCGAAAGCGACTCTGACCAATCAATTGTGACTGAGTGGCGTTGTTAATAAGAATCGCGAAAAATAGGCCAGTGGCCGCGCGTTCAATTCTCAGTACACTTTTTGATCATACTTGATCCTGACTATACCGAAAGCTCACTTAATGAAGGCATAACACTTATTGATTGAACAAGCAGCGACAATGTCGGGTCCATTCCGTATCTTTTTTTTTCCGCAGTTACTGCCGATCATCGTCGTGTTGCGCGTACAGAAAACCAAGATTATGTTAACAGAAATACATCCAAGCCATCCTTGAGTGCAAATATAAACTCTGCGCAGACTTTGAAGCATTATCTTTTTAACATATTCAGTGCATACTCTCCTTTGGCATGCCATCTAAAAGAAAATATAATCTTGTCGATTGATTTTGCCTTACTCTCCAAACAAAGTGAAAGGAAGAGCCATTGAAAGCTTTTAATTTCGAGCATTAATGGTCATTAATTATTAACGCTTGTCTTCTTTCGACCAAATAAATGAAGCGCTGAACTCAGTGTCAATATCGGCGATAATTGAACTTCAGATAATAGTTCTTCTTTTTTGTGTTACTAATGTTCAATGCGTAGGTGCGTATGTATATAATGCAATAATCTGAAATTCATGCGCCTCAAAGTAGATGCTTGAATTGATACAACTGCGTACGGCGAAGAGTTTTTAGAGATTTTTGTCACCAGATGGTGTTTAGAGTCCTGTGTTGGGAAAGCCACATTATTCGCTACAATTTTTATGCAAATAGTTTCGTTTTTCGTTAATCGTATTCAAAAGTTTTGCTATTTAGAACATTAAGGAAATTTCCAAAGAAAGTTTCGTTTCTGTAAAAATGCAACATAAGTTCGAGAAAAAATTTGAAATCTTTTCAGTCAACACGCTCCGCCGAATGCAACAGCATGTAGATGCTGTTTCGTTCTAGAAATGTCGTTGTCAAAGACGCAACCCGTTCTGGTCGACTTACCAATGAACAAGTCGGGTACTACTTTACAAAAAAACCGGAAAAGAAGATATTAAATGTCGATCACAAATTATAATAGTTCGTCGAATGCACAAGAGAGAATTCTTCTCGGCGAATAACTATTGAAAGGCAATGGTGCGTTTGGATACTTGCTCCTTACTCCAATAACGTTTTACTTAAGTAACATCTGTGGTTGTTTCCTGAACTGTTATGATTTGCGTGAACATCTTCGATACTTTTTTAAATGACTTTACCAAGAGGGTATGCTGAAAAATGTTATCTTTAAGTATTTGAGAGGCGTTATCATGCAGCACCATATCATTATGCAAAGAGCGAAATAAAGAGACCAGACTGATAAGATAAGATGCTCAATCCAGACATAAGTCTAAATTTAATGCATCAAAACTGCCAATTCAAACTCTCCCATCAAGATGTAAAAAACGCATATGGACTGGCAATGTCGTGACGCAAGGCAATGACTTTTTGCTTTAATTACGCTCTTTAATCACTTATGCTGCACGATTCTCTCCCAATTTCACCAGCTTAAGAGGCGTCAATTTGGCCTTTGCCCAGCTTCACTCATCTTGGACTGCAATCTTTTGGGCGCATTACTATATATGTCACTCACTTTTCGCTGTGGGCTTATCTGTCTTCATATATTTGGATCGATCTAATTTTATTTCACCAGTGATTCGCAAGTAGAAAATCGTTTCCTTCAATATTTTATTACTAGATTATATGATGGTCGAAAAGTTAGTTTTTTTTATCCAGCTGAGTTGAAACCTTGCCGTGTAAGTGCCTACTTCTTCGTCAGTTTTTGTTTTGATCGATCGTCTTCATCTTTTATGCGCACCTGCGAAACGTCATTGCCATGGCCATGCCATTAATGGTGGATTTTTAGTCCTGCCACTGCGCTGCACCTAGCAACTGTGCTGCACGAAGCGACTACGCTGCACCGATCGTCAGACCTATCTGCAGCGGTGCACCTTGCAACTGCTCTGCATCTAACCGCAGCGCTTGGCTTAGCTGAATGCGGCGCTGCAGGTAGCTGCAAGAAGCTAAGTGCAGCGCTGCACATATCTGAATGACGCCCCTCTTAGCTGAATGCAGCACTGCACTTAGCCGAATACGGCTTTTTGAGCTGAATGCATCGCTGCACTTATCTGGATGCGGCTTTTTGAGCCTAATGCAGCATTTAGCTAATGTGCTGCATTTAGCTGACTGCAGCGCTGAACTTAGCCAATGTGCTGCACATAGTTGACTGCAGCGTTGTACCCAGCTACTGCGCTGGACCTAATAAACTCT